ATGTATATATATATGTATTATATATATATATATATATATATATATATATATATATATATATACATACTATGAGAGAGAGAGAATATGAAATAAGAAAGAAATTAAGAAAAAGAGGTAGCACTGGAAAAACAACAAGGGTAATAAAAAAAGAGAAGAGAGAGAGAGGGGGAGATACAGAGAGAGAGAGATGGAGAGAGAGAGAGAGACAGAGAGGAGAGAGAGTGAGAGTGAGAGAGAGAGCAAGAGAGAAAGAGAATAAGAAAGAAGAAAGAAATAAAGAAAAAGAGGTAGCACTGGAAAAAAAATATTAGCTAGGATAATAAAAAAAGAGTAAATAATAAGGATAAAAATAAAGAAATCCAGTCAAAAAAAATTAAACCACGCTTCCCAAGGCTTTTCTCAAAATCCGGCATCTCCTTATAATTGCAATAAGCTGCTTATCTCAGCCCTGCCATGATTGCTTGCTTAGGAGAAGCGCCGTTGCTACAGGCAAGACGACGGGCTGGTTCTCCGGGACTCAGGAATGTTGGGTTACTGAGAAGGAGTGAGAGGGGGGGGGGCTATATGCTAAGATGGATAAGGAAGAAGAGAGGGTGGGGAGGAGAGGAAGGGGTAGAAGGATAGGGGAGGGGCAGGGGGAGTTGTAGAGGGAAAGGGGAGGAGGAAGGGAAGGGGTAAAGTAGAAAAGGAGGTGGGAAAGGGAGGGAGAGGAAGTTGGGGTAGGAGAATGAGGAATGATAATGGGAGAGATGAGAAGGAGAGGGAGGAGGGAGACGCGGAAGGGTTAAGGAGAAGGAGGGATAAAAAGAAAGAGAAAGACAAATAAAATAGGCCGATAGACAAAAACAGATGGACGGATAGACAGAGGGACAATAACAAGTAGTAGAATACATTTAAGACAGAAAAAAGATAGACAGTCAAACAGGTAGCGGAATATTATTAATAAGACGATGTCTTGTATGCTGCGCAGATAGGCCAGGAAGCTTACAAGAGTGGGAGGAAGGAAAATAGGGAGGGAGGAAGGAAGAGAGGGCGAAAGAAAGAATGGACCAGCGAGGCATAAGAGTAACAATAACCAGAGCCAGTGATCCATGACCTATGTAGAAGACTGGCCATTAATAGCACTTAATGCCTGTGATACCCAGCGGATGTATTATTCTGTACGGCTTTATCTAAGAGAGTGGGAGAGGGAGAAGGGAGAGGGAGAGGGAGAAAGATTGGTAGGCGGAGACGAAGATGGAGAAAGAGACATACTTGAGGGGGGTGAGGAAAGGGAAGGGGAAGTATCTAAACACGAGCATTATGCATTAACACCTAAGAGACACCAAGTACAAATACCCCATTAGGTAACCACAACAATACAGACACAATGGCGACACAACCTTTCTTAAATGAAACCCGAAGCTTAATCCAAGCCTTAATCTAATTGAAAGCTATTACAAATGATGATGGTTCGCCGCTAATCCCTCACCCAATTCGCCCTGTATGGACCCCGGGTTTCAGCGCAGCCGTTCGGAGCCTCGGAACGGATTCGGGGTTCTTAATGTATCTTGATTTCGAAGCTTCGGCAAGGATTCTAAATGGATCTTGGGTTTTGGATGAGATGGGGAAGGAGGGGGGAAGGGAAGGGGAGAGGAGGGGAAGGGGGAAGGAGAGTAGAGGAAAGGGAGGAGGAGATGAAGCTAGATGGACAGACAGGGAAATAAATAAATTAGTATATAGATACAAACATATAAATAGTTAACAACAAATCTAACCAACATATCATCTCACTGAAAAAGTATCATTCACTTGGCTTCGTCAGAAAATTCTCTAAAACCACTTAAACAGCTTTCTCTTTCATGGAAAATAACGAGTGAGTTTGACTTGAAATCCACAGCAAAAACCCAAGAAGCAAAGATAAAATCCAGTGGCTATTTTCTTTCACAATTTTCTCGAGAGAATAATTTAGAGATGAATAGACAGACAGATTGAGACACAGAAAGACAGAATCTCCGGAAGTTCAAGATACATTTAATAGCACCACCATTCTAGCCGAAGACGGTACGTCACGGACCTTGAGCGTACTTAGGCGAGCTTCCAGTGCTGAGTAAAGCAAGATTACCGTGGCTCGGGGACTCGACTCGCTCGCAGGAGCACGTACAAATGCCCGACGCGATGAGTAGACAGAACGAATTTATAGTGTCTGTGGAGGTGCGTATGTACTGTACATGTTTTACATATCTCACACATATGTATATAGATATATAAGGTGATATATATATATATATATATATATATATATATTATATAATATATATATATATATATATATATATATTATATATATATTATATGTATAATATATATGTATACACACACACACACACACACACACACACACACACACACACACACACACACACACACACACACACACACACACACACACACGCACACAACACATCACACACACACACATATATATATATATATATATATATATATATATATATCTATA